GACAATCCACCAATATAAACCTCAAGGGGAAGGTCATGTCTACGGAAGCTAATCTTGGAAATATTGATATGAGACATACTGACTGGCCTCTGGGAGGAACAGTGTAGCACTGTCCTGTCACTGTATCATAATCAGCAAGGCAGGTAAGCTGCTCATTTTCACAGTCTGACCAGTTCCTGTTGTAGATAGGACAAGTAGTCGGGATAAAACAGTTTCTAGTACAAGAATTAAGGGAGGGGTGAGGTTCAGCAGGAATGGGTTTGCCAGTCAAATCAGTTAGGGTAGATAGTGCACAAGCTTGGGATGTAACTGTGAAAAGGTGTGAACGATCAGAGGTATCTTTGCCAACTTGTTTTTGGAGGCACTGTTGAGAGTGAGGGGTATTGTCAGAGTAGGGCGCTGTGGGGGAATCAAAAAGAATCGATCCCACTCGGCTGGGCCAAAGAGAGTACTCAAAAGGTTAGCAGAGGTAGAGGTAGTAGAAGGATGAGGGCGGGAGGGAGATGTGGTGTGGAGTGGAGTAGTTCTTAGGACAATATGGATGAAGAGCAGTAATAAGGGAAGAGGGGGTAGACATTGAAGAAGTCTGTGCAGTAGATGGCGAGGAGATGGAATGGTTAATGGTTAAAAGCGAAATAAATGTGCTAGACATCTAAGGTCATATAGCACTATAGGAAAGTATAGTAAAGGGTGATGTCAGGTGATAGTTGCTATGCGTCAACAATCTAGAGTAATGTTGAAAGGTTGAAGTTGGGTAAGGGTTGATGAGGGAAAGGGTTATGGTGGTTTAGGTAAGAGAAATAGATCAAGTGAAGGATACTTATGCATCTGAGGAAGGACAGGTTGTTATAAGAAGCAAGGATGTGGCGTAGGTCTGGTCTGTGAGAACGGAAACCGCGAATATTCCAATGTAGGAGAGCTATATCTTAGTTATTTTATGAGTGAAGACTCCGGTACATGTTGGGGAATCTGGGGGGGGGGAGCTAGGGGTGTTGTGATATGAGTGATTCCCGTGTGTATCCGGGAGGGAGTGGAAAGGATAGAGGGGATGGAGGGAGGGAGAATGTGCGTATAGTTGGAGTTGAAGGGGGTGGGTTGTGTTGGGAGGGAGTAGGAGGAAGTGGTGTGGGGGAATATTAGTGATAGGAGGATGGATATCGGAAGGATGGATAGTTGGAGTTGAAGGGGATGTGTTGTCTTGGGAGGGATTAGGAGGAAGGGGTGTAGGGTGCTATGAGTAAGAGGGGGATGGATTTCAGGAAGATGGGTATCGGGAGGATGGATATCGGTGGTGGACGGAATCGTGGGGGTTAGGTTGTGTTGAGAGGGAGGAGGAGGAAGGGGTGTAGGGGAATATGAGTAGGAGGGGTATGGATATCGGCAATCACTTCAAGTGTGAGGGAGCATGAGTTATGGAATTTTGTGTCTCAAGCATATAGCTTTGAATGTCTTCCATAGTTTCTGCAGTGGAGTTTGCTGGAGAGTTTTGTGGGATAAAGGTTTTCTTATGAGGGGGGAAGAGGAGACTGGTGTCTGAGGAGTAAAGCTAAAGGTAGGTGGAGGTGAGTGTGCGGTAGGGGAAGAAGGGGTGGAACGTTTCGGCTGTCTACTGCGAGTAGTGCGGGGAGGGAGAGGGGATGTGTTGGGGCTGTAGTTGAGATTGGAGCTGTGGTTGAGATTGGGGTGTCTGGATTTAGAGTGGCAAAAGAATTTGACTGGGGGAGGTTGAATGTAGAAGTGGAAGTGGGGAAGTAAGTAGGTATAGGGAGGGTGTAGGAACATCTTGAGGTGGAGGGGAGGGGCAGAGCGAGCCATTACTAGAGTAGGGAGTATAAGAGAAACCTTGTCGGCGTGCTTCCTGTCTGGCTTCACGTAGAGTGAGACGATTTTTGTATCTGAGAGCTGCTACCTCAGACTCGAACTTGTAAGTGGGACAGCCTCTATAAAATACATTATGAGGGCCGCCGCAGTTAGCACATGTACGTGTTTGTGCAAGGCAGTTTGATCTGTTATGACCGGGTTGGGCACAGAGGGGGCATCGGTCTGTGGAACGGCAGTGTTTGGCAGGATGTCCAAATCGCCAACAATTTTGACATTGACGGGGAGGAGGTTGGTATGGTTGAACAGGGAGGGATTGTCCACCAATGTAGATACGAATGGGAAGGTCATGTGTACTGAAAGTAGTTTTGGCAATGTTGGTGGGTTTCTTTCGATGACCTCTAGAAGGAATGGAGTAGCAATGTACTGATATCACGTCCTGGTCTTTGAGGCAGCCGAGCAAGTCTTCTCCACAATCTGACCAATCTTTGGTATCGACTGGGCAGTTTGCTGGGGAGATAGAGACAGTTCCGGTACAAGTATTAAGAGTTGGATGAGGTTCTGCAGGGATGGGGTTGCCAGAGAGATCAGTTAGTTTTGATAATGCTATAGCTTCAGCTTCAGATCTGACTGTTACGAGACGGGAGCGATCGCGTCGGGTACGGAAAGGGACTCTGCCTACATGTTTTTGGAGACATTGTTGAAAGAGAAGAGTGTTGCCTGAGTAAGGAGCTGTAGAAGGGATCACGAAAAATCGGTCCCATTTAGCTGGGCTAAATAGAGTAGTTAAGATATCTGTAGGGTTGGTGGTGGTAGAAGGACGGGGGCGTGTGGAAGCGGGAGTGTTGTTGAAGGGGGTAGTATTACGGAGAGATGGAGAATAAGGCTGTAAGGTAGTAGTAATAAGGGAGGTTGGGGTGTTTGATGAAGAAGGTTGTAGGGGTAGAGTTGATGAATTTGAGGAAGTTGGGAGGGTAGGAATGTCTTCTGGAGATTGAATCTCTGTTTGGGTGGGTAATGCACTAGTAGGCATTGAAGAGTGGGTAGTAGTTTCAGTGTTTGGAGTCGTAGTCAAAGGAGAGCCTGGGGTCGGGGAGCCGGTGGGGCTATTTGATGAAGGGGCAAGCCTCATTGCCCCTAATATGGGTATTACATCTTCATTACTGGCCATGGGAAGCCTTGATTATGTAAAGGGAAATAAGCTGTTCACCCCCCAGTGCCCTGTACAGGGATAAGGGCTAGACAACTAAATCAGGAGTACCGTACCAATGGTTTCCGCAGGCCGTTCAGGACTGGCACAAGGTCAGCCTTTCATCCTTTCAGCACGGCTCTTACACCTTAGGAAGTAGAAGGGATTGGAGAAGGGACGGAAACAAAAAGCTGGAGGGGGAAAAGACTATGCAAAATTAGTTTAGTCGAGGGCTGAAGCCCTAGACAGAGGAGATCCCTGCATTGGGTCTTAGTCTCCGTCTTCTAAGCCCCCCCTCCCCTCCACTACAACAACGGGCAAGGGATTGGGGGGATGGGAGGAGAATGAAAGGAAGGGGTGTATTCTGAAGGTTGAGTAGTGTTCTTGGTGAGTGGTTTGGAATGGATTGCGTTGTCAATAGACACTGAGGAGAGAGTATCAGTGGTCAGAGCCATGGTCAAAGGAGAGACAGGGATCGGAAAACCAACAAAATCGAATTCAGATAAGCAATTTGGTGAAGGGGCAAGCCTTAATGCCCCTAATAAGGGGAAAATAGTCTACCCATCAGGGTCCCCATAAATAGTAAGGGCTAGGAGATTAACCATGGGAATATTGTACACATGGCTCCCAGAGGCCATTCATGACTGACAAAGCCAGCCTTTCATCCTTTCAGCACAGCTCTCACAACAAGTGGATAGAAGGGGATGAGAGAAGAAGGGAAGGGGTAGAACAAAATACCATGCGAAATTAGTTAAGGCAAAGACTGAGGCCTAAGATAGGGATAATCTCCTACATTGGGCCTCAGTATCTGTCTCTTAAGACTCCTAATGACAACAATGAACAACAGATTGGGGTGTTCTACTCTCAAAGTAACTGCCAACATTCATCCTCCTACTCATGTTACTCCACTCCTCCCAACACATCTCATTTCTTCTTGCTTCAGCTCCATTATCCCTTCTTATTCCCCCTCGATGTAACCACTTGTCCCACCACCCTCTTACCTGGATTCTCTCCCTCCTGACATTTCTCTTGAAACTGATCAAATTGCCCTTAAAGCCCCTTTGCCAATCCCTACCTTACCATATGGACATCCTTATACACTGTTTAGCCCACCCAAATGGGATCGATTTTTTGTAATCCTTCCCCCCCCCCCACAGCCCTTTAGAGATGGGGGTAGTAGGAGAACAGGGATGTGTGGAAGAGGGAGTAGTGTTGACAGAGGTAGTACTGCAGAGGTGGACAATAAGGCTGCAGAGTAGAGTAAGGAAAGATGGGGTAGTTAATGAAGAAAGTTGTGGGGGTGGAGGAAATGAAGTAGGTGTTGGGAGATTTCCTGGAGATTAAGTATTGATCTGGATGGATTATTTGGACTGGTAGGAATTGAGGCGGGGTAGTAGTAGCAGTGTTCAGAATCACAGTCAAAAGAGAGCTTTGGGTAAGGGAACCAGTAGAGTTGACATTAGTAGGGCTATTACATAAAGGAGCAAGCCTTAATGGCCCTAATAATGGTAAAAATTCTTCATTATACTGGAGAGAGAAATAGTCAACCCCCTTGAGGGGTAAGGATAGACAGCTACACGGGAGTACCATGCCCATGGCTCCTCCAGGCCATTCATGACTGGCACAAAGACACACTTTAATCCTTCCAAAAAAGCTCTCACACCTTAGTAAGTGGATATTAGAAGGGGTTGCAGAAGAGAAGGAAATGAAAAGTGGAAGGGGAGAAGACAGTGCAAAATTAGTTGAGTCATAGTCTGAGACTGATCCCAGCATTGGGTCCCAGTCTCCATCTCCTAAGCACCCCACAGCAACAACAGGCATAGGATTGGGGGGTGGTTAAAAGGTCAACAATTAATGGAGAACATTCTAATACCATTATCATTCATCTATAATGGCAAGATTGATAAAAATATCTATTTAATGACTGTTATACCTTGTTGTCTAATCTTTTTGAACATTGAATGTCTTTGGGTAATAAAACAACTCCTTTATATCAAAGCCTTTCAGTTTCATAAAAATCCAAATATTACAAAAAACATCTCATAGACAATTAGTATTCACAAAAATTACACACAAGTATTTTCAGATCTCTTCATAAATTGAAAAAAAAATTACAATCTTTTAAATAATAAAAATTTAAAGATCTACAGAATGCATTAAGGACAAGCAGATATCCACTATAAATTACTGCTTAAAATAAAGCTAATGGAATATTCCCAAATCTTCAATTTTTATTACAATATAAATTACAAATAAAAAAAGTCCAATAACTTGACATTCACATATAGATAGAGAAAAAAAAAAAATTCAGACCATAAATGACAAAAACTTAGGCAAAATAACAGCAGAGAAAGAGCGAGATTATTCTACATGATATGAAAGATCACAACGGGAGAAACTTGTGAAAAAATTTACAAATGGCAGCGAAATTTGACAGTCCTTCTCCTCACAAATGGGGGGAGGGGGAGATGCCAATTACAACAATGTAACGAGATGAGAACATGAAAATGACGTGCACAGACCCATGCCAATCCTTTACAACAAGGATAGCATGAATCTTGTCCAAAGATCAGCCAGATGTAAAGCGTATACTATAAAATATAATATATACATATTCTTTTACTATGTCCTCGAGGTACAAAAAACAAAAGAAAGTAAAGTGACAAATCGCCATTTCTTTTCCATTTTTTTCCATTCCAAGAAGGAATGCAAATCACCCTGACAGCCAATGGAGGAAGAATGAAAAGAAGAGAGAAGAAATCATAAATAGATTAATATAAAGAAAGAAGAAATACAATATAATAATGCAATTTTAGATAAGAGATATAAGAGA